ACACAGGGAAGAAAAGAAGAGAGAGAAAGATAGGATAGGACTTACTTAGATTCAGAAAACAGGAGCAATGAGAAGTAATGAGGACCATAGGAGCTACATTTGGGAATAGAAACAAGGAGTTCTCCATGAAGAAATACACAGCCTGTGCTTATTCCTCTGTATTAACAGATCCCTCTCCAAATGTCTTCTTGTAGGTGGACAGCAAATGTATCAGCAAAATAATAAAGAATAAGAAGTGTCTGGGGAAACAGCATGATCAAACAGGAATGCATTATCTTCAGAAGTTTAGATCACAACTTTCTTAAACCAACCACAAAAAAAGGTAGTAATACGCTAGTATAGAAATAAAAACATAAAGCAACTTCAAAAGGGAGGGAGGAAGCAAAAGCAATTATGCTTCCAGAAACTTATTAGAGAAAGATACATTTTTTTAAAAAAAACTATACACTCAAGATATACTATGCTAAAGTTCTATGAGTTTCTGAAATATTCAGAATCTACTTCTGTTAAACAGCTGGTGCCCCAGGGACATTACAAAACATAACCCAACTGCAGCCACCAGTCAGCTCAGCTGGCTTTACGTCAACAGGAGCAGCCATCAGTCTAGGCATGGACCTCTGGACACGGACGTGGGTCCCAATGAACTTTCTAAGTGTCCAGTCACCTTTCCAGCTAAACTTTACTAAAGCAAAAATACCCTGCACAAAAAATACGTTCAGTAAAGATGGTGAAAAGATATCACCTGCACTCAGTACTACAGAATAAACAAGTCCCAGTATCAGTATGATGAAAACCAGTAAATAATATGTTTTTAGACAATTTGTACTTTAAATGCCTACAGAGAAACCAAATCTACTGGAGGTTTACAGATCAACAAACACAGACTAAACTGATCTTTGCAAAAAGCAGTTCATTGTTATCAAGTTAGAGTTAAAGAAGGTAACTGCAATAAACTGAAAATAAAAGGAACCATTCCTATAGAGAATTTCTTAATGTACAAATATTTAGAAGAAAATAATTTTTCACTCTGGAAATAGCTCTGAGATTGGTCTGTGTATCAGCTCTATTATGGTTCCACCAATATGGTTCACAAGTTTGTATATGGACACTATACAAACAGAAGAGAAAACTCCAGGAATAAACATAGGTATCCTAATAAAAGAGGGAAACCTCAACTGGAAAGAAACAAAACTTAAGAGATTTCAAAATTTACAAGTCTGCCCACTCCATAAGAAAAGCTTGGCAGCAGACTACTGGTGGGGGGGGGAGGGGTGGAATCCAGCCATGAAGGAGCTGCAAGAGGCTCAAAAGGAAGTTTATAAAGGACAGAACATAGAGAAGAGAAGACAGAGGCATTTTCTGCCATGAGATTTGCCTTAAGCTATAGGCGTTGTTCAGAGAAAAACCCCAGGAAAGAAAATGTAACTGAGCACACAAATAAGCTTGTTATTTAGCCTGTCAAAGCAGCTGGGAAATACTCTCATTTACTCAGTAAAAGAAAAGCAGAGTTATATTCAGCAGACTCATAAACAGCACCAAGCAATTCTAAATTATAAAGCAGTCTCCTTTATATGTAATGTTCTCTAAACAACTGGCAACAAAATTAAGTGTCTTGATGAACTCACTAAGACAGGCATCTCAAGTTATAAAAAATTATTTTTTTCAAGTCAAATGAAGCAAGAATGAGACAAAGAAGTTAGCCTTTGTTCTAATAAAGCAGCCAAGAGTATCCTCATGGCAAATGGATGCTGAGGAACATCAGAAAACAAGCCCTAAAAAATAGCATATGAAGTGATAGAAGAATCAGCAATATTATTTAATTATTTAGCCAACTACTTTCCTCTTCCCCAAAGGAAAAGAAATACTTTCCCCCAAATGAGAAATAAGGCTAACGAACAGCTCACGTACCCTAAAACTATGTCTGAAGATGACAGAATCAAAGTCCAGCCCAGGGGATCAGTGTTGATTACAAAGTTAATTCTCAAGATATCTAGACTGATATAAAACCTAAAATTTATTTCAGAAAATATTAAAATCATAATCAGGGAAGACTCACCTCCTCTAAATATGTCAGTTTTTTAAAGCTGACACATAGTCAGTACTTAACTCACACCTAAAGGTTTTCCTAGGTGTGTGTTTAAATATCTTCCCATGAAAAATGTATCCCTTCTTTAAACAATTTCATCTTTCTTTGAAAGTGACCATATCTTGTTTTAAAAAAAAGAACCAAACTTATTTAGCATTTCTAAAATTAGCTATTAAAAAAATAAAAATTTTGAGCTATATATATATATATATATACACACGTATATATATATATATATATCTTCCTCAACTTACATCCCAATAAACCCATCATAAGTTGAAAACATCATTAAGTCAAAAATACATTTAATATACCCAATCTTCCGAACATCACAGCTTAGGCTAGTCGACCTTAAACATCCTCCAGAACACTTACGTTAGCCTAATGAGAGTTGGGCAAAATCATCAAACACAAAGCCTATTTTATAATAAATTACTGAATCTTATGGAATTTAATGAATACTGTGAAAAACAGATGGTTTTATGGTTACAAAATGGTTGTAAGTGATTGTGTGGCTGACTGGGAGCTGTGGCTTGCTACCCTGCCCAGCTTGAGAAGGAAGTATAGTACTGCATCTCTCTAGCAAAGATCAAAATTCAAGATTTGAAGCACGGTTTCTACTGAATGCATACCACTTTCACACCATCATAAAGTCAAAAAATTGTAAGTCAATCCATCATAAGTCAGGGGTCATCTGTATAAGGTAAATGGCTGATAAATTTTTTAAAAAAGCAGAATACTTCTGAACATACTTTCTTCACTCACACAACACTTTAGTTATAAGTTTGCTTCTGAGACAGTGGTCACCTTCACAGAAAGATTAAACAAAAATAGCTGGGTTAATTTTAATAAGTCTGTAGACAAGTTCAAAGGGGATATATTTTTCTGGAAAGCTTGTGTCAAAGAGAAATGGTATAATTCACAAAAAAAAAACTGAAACAAATATTTTAAAAGTCTTATTTTCCATATTCATAAAGTCAAAATGAGTAATAAAGATTTGCTGATTTAAAATATATAGTCTTAATATATATAGCCAGTGTGGGTCTCAGCGTGAGCAGCGTGAGCAGCGTGAGCAGCATGAGCAGCTGTCTTTAGTAGCCAGCCCCTTAGAGGAAGTGGATATAGAAGATTATTGTTGTATTAAAGAAAAAAGATAAAGAACATAATGGCAACTTAAGCTGATCGAAGAAGTACCAAATGAGAGAGCAGAAAACATAAATAAGAAAGTTACCCTCAATACTGGAACGAATTTTAGTTGTCTACTTAATTTCAGAAGTGGTCTTAATGTCTACTTACTGCAAAGAATCAAAGAATGCAACTATTTCTAAAAGAACCAGCTTAATTTTTCAAAAGAAACCAAAATTTTATATACTAAAAGGTCTTGATTACCTTTCAAAAATGTTTTTTAAAAATTATTTATTTCATTTTAAAAAGGTTAAAGTAGGAAATAAGGAGGAAATAACGATAAAAAACTTGAAGAGCAGAAGGGAAGAAGTGTCTGACTCAATCTCTCTACTGACCTCTCGAGAGAAATCAGACTGAAGAGAAGAGAGCACCTTTAATATCTTCACCGGCTGAGATGTCACAGCAGAAGCAGGACTAGTCAGTTTTTATCAACTTGGAAGGTATGAGAAAATACCCAGTTGTGCTGAGGGAATAAGCAAGAGGAAACAGATCACATTTCAATAGCAAATGCCATTTAAAGGGTACATATACAGAGAACTTCTCTAGCCCTTTTGTGCAACAGGGTGGATGGATCTAGCGTCATTCCAGTGTGTGAATGCACAAGAAATGTACTAAGGCCAAAGTGGTGAATCACATACCAGGCAAAGAATGGATGAAGGCCCAGACGTCATCAACTGTCCATATAGATGGCTCTGTTTGTGCAACTGGTAGCAAGTCACTGTTCTCGGGCATTTTCCTCATTCTCACGTCCCGAAGCTCACGTTCTCTTTCCCGCTCACTTTGCCTGCGCAGGCGTGTTGTCATAGCAGATGGCACAGAATCTTCATGAGAAGCCAAGTCTTCTTCTGCAGATGGATAAGTAATTGGAAGCTGGAAAATGTAGTACAAGTAAAATACAGCATTGCACTTTCCTTGTATTTCTGAAAAGAGTATTGTACATTGAAGCAAGGTTTCTACAGACCTGCCTAAGGATATGGTCTCTTGCTGCCCCATCAGGGCCACTTGGACGACGACCACGATGCCCAAGACTTTGATTATCAGGCTTACGATTCCAACGACTAAGTGCAAATTTTTTAGAACAGCTAACATTGTACCTAAGAAATTCAAGTAAGAAAAAATATTAAATAATGTATGGGACACTCCACTTAGTAATTATGACCTTAAAGTGAATCAGAAAGTGTCATTTACTTCATTACGGACAATAATACCTAAGAAAGTAAACCACAGTATTTAATAGACTTATTTATGCTAACACTTAGGAAAAAAAAGGCCTCTTTAGACATCACAACATAGTTCTCAATGTAATATTAGACACCTTTAGCAAGGTATTGATGTTTTCTTCTAAAAACAGCATGACAGTGGGAGGCTTTCTGCAAAATACAGAGAATAACTTTTTTTTTAGCAGTAAAATAATTCAAGGTTCCAGGAGAAAAAGAAGTTACGAATTAACTATTTAGATGTTCACTGAAACTGTTATTTTCTCAAGTAATCATTTCTGAAGAGAGAATAATGAAAAGAGCTTAATTTAGTAGAGAGAGAGGAAATCTCAAATGGCTAGTAAAATATTTTTCAAACGTAACTAAAACTGAAGAGTGAAAATGTAGTTTAGACTTCAAAATACACAAGGAATTCATGGCTCTCACTATTCAGGAAATTCAACTATATGTAATTCTTTGAAATTGGCTGAAAGATTTTATTTTACCAAAACAGACTGTCTAATATATACATTTTAACTATGGAATACTTCATGAATTTGCCATCATCCTTGCCCAGGGGCCATGCTAATCTCTGCATCGTTCCAATTTTTGAATATGTGCTGTCAAAGTGAGCACTCTAGTATTTTTTAATGTAGACCTTTATAAGGCATGACGACAGCTTAAAAAGAGTCCTATGCCTTTTACTGGGTTCCAGTGCCCTAGAACAGGGGCTGGCAAACTTCTTCTATAAAGGGCCCGATAGTAAATATTTTAGGCTTTGTAGGCTACACAAGTTTCTGGTATAACTACTCAACTCTGCAACTGTAACATGAAAACAGCCATAGACAATGAATGAGCATGGCTGTGTTCCAGTAAAACTTTACTTAATAACACTTAAATTTGAATTGTATACAATTTTCATGTGTCACAAAATATTATTCTTTTGATTCTTTTTCAACCACCTAAAAACTATCCTTAGTTCAGGGGCCATACAAAAATAAGCTACACGAAGGACTCAGCCAGGGCATGGTTTGCCAACTCTTTCCCTAGAAAGAAGAGTGAAAAGAATGAATCAAAGAAATGAATTTCTGAAAAGCTATGGAAGGCTAAGAAATATACACACAGTTCCTTTTTCTTTTTTTTTTAACATATAAATCTGTCATTTTAATTTCTTATTTTCAAAACTCTTGCTCTAAGATGATTTTTCAGGAAAATGAAAAAATAATAAATCCCAATTAACTTTGCTATTAATAACTGTTCTAAGACCAATATACAGATATCAAAATAAATGTTCCTCACCTATGTTTTATGAAAATATCAGGAGTGAACTGGCTGTTTTTCCCCTAAAAATATAAAAAAGAAAAAAGTGCCCTGATGGCCATTTCATTTTACCCTAAAACAATTAACCAAGCTCCTCCTGTGTTCATGATCCTCATCTGTGGGCTCAGCTCTGAAGGTTTCTGATTTCCAATCACATCAACTGACAAAACTTCTTTCCCAACTGACTAGAGAACAAAGGAGAGAGACTAAACTTTGCTTTTTAGTCCTTGCTATTTAGTCCTTAAATACTTAGATCTCTAAGACAGATAGCTAGGCAGGCAGACAGGTAAACCATAGTTCTTACCTGACCTAATTTATCCTCTCCTCCTTGCTCTTCTCTCATCTGCATTTTCCTATGCTAGGATCTCTAAACCTCTAAAGAGTTTCACCTAAAGGTACAAAAACGTGACAGCTCACCAATCATCTCTGGGAAAAGAGTGATGGTCGTTGTGTTAAATGTCCTGAAATATTTCTAAATAGTCTAAAGTTTAAAATATTCTGAAAGGCATTTCTTTTCCCTCAGTTTTTAATCTCTTAGAATCAGAGAGCCACTATTCTTTCCTGAGGTACATGCAAATTGGAAAACTCCCAAGTCAAAACAGGAGTTACATAATTTGATGAGGACTATCAATAACATGAAAGAATATATATCTGAATAACAGATTGACAATTGAGAAATCAGTAACCCATTTTTAGAGGAAAATACTTATACTACTTATTTAACTTAGGTTTTACTAAATATATTTTAGTGGCACCATAATAAATAATATGTTCAAGCAAGAAATTCCCTAGATGTGCCATTAAGATCTCAAATTCTTTGAGAGAATAATAACTTTTGGAACAGAGAACAAATTTGAAAATAATCAACTTGTGCATACACTTCACCGTTAGTGGGAAATACCTATATGGGCTTTACTATCAGAATCAGAGGGGTTTTCTTTAATGTGAACTAAACTTGTGACAAGTTCAATGAAGATACTAAAATTTCTTTTGTTAGTAATACTATTTACCTATAATATTACTATTGAAAATACAGATTTAGAAAAGACAGATATTTTGGTGTCTGGTAATGTAACAATGTGGAGAACTTATGCTAAGCTATCTCACTTAGAAACCTGAAATAGGATATGGCTAAAAGAAATTAAAACATTTTAAAACGTAACCAAGTAAATCCAGGTATTTCAATACTGATAAAACAAGTATTATTTTGCTACCTTAAGGAACAGTAGTCTATTTACAGGAGGGATTCTCCTAAACATATTCTTACCACCAGGAGATTGCTACTTCCATATTAGATTATGCTGTATGTGTTAGGAATATGCAAATTTCACAGAGCAAAATTTAAAGACTAAAAACTAAAGTAACACCAGATAATGCCTATTTGATACCATTCCTCTGTAATATCTAGTTTTGACTAATTATAAACTCTATTCTAAGTTTTCTGGTTTTGTTAGCACTGTATGTTGGTTTTTGCTTTATTTAGTAAATTCAAGGGAAAAAAAAATACCTCTTGGCACATGACATAGTGCAGAATCGTTTTGACCGCAGAAATTCATTAGCATATCCCATCTTCCCACAGAATTCACACTTGAGCAACTCACTGTCCATTTCTTCTAATGTCTCTAAAAAGAAGGAAACAAAGGGAAAAACTTCCAAAAATTTAATTGTGGCAGATTTTCTTTTAGCTTCTACTTTGGTTGGATGCTGCTAGTTCAGACCCTCCAGGAAACTTAAAAGGAATGGTCTTTTAACTTTTCAATCTATAGCCACTTTGGCCAGGCAAAAGCTCCCCAAAACAACCACTTCCACCAACTCCCTCTTGCTCCTGTATAAAAATTTCACGGAGTTTCTCTATATAAACAAGCAATAAATTTCTAAAGGTTCACTTTGCTAAGACTCCAACCTATCTAAAATGTGCAGATAAGACAAAGTCACTACCTTTCAAGTGGAACACTTTCAGAAAGCATCATGTATATATTAATTTTGATACATTGTGAATATATGAATTTTGATATATATAGAGCAGAAAACACAATTCTAACTGGAGAGAATGAGGATGACTCCAAAAGAAGGTAAAATTTTGATATGTCTGATTTCAGAGGAGCATTTCATATAATTGACACTCTCAAAGATCTGCAGTGTACAACAAAATATATAAAGGTGTATTTATCTAATTATAAAGCAGTCCCTTCTAGTTACATCATATTAAAAGAAAAATAATTCAGATTAATCTTAAAAATCACCAATAGTTTTGTAATTTCTAACCTCTGCTCCTTTCTGCCAGGGTGTTCTGTTAAGTTAGAATGTCCTTCCTCCACCTCTATATCCATAACTTTCTTCAAGCCTTACCACAGGACTCAAAGAAACTTCCTACCTAAATCCTCAAGTATTCAGCAGCAGTCACGTATAAGCCAGCAACTTAATCTTCATGACCCATAGTCTTCTCATCTGTAAAATGGAGTTTATAATACCTTTTCCCAAAGACTTGCCAAGAAGATTACATACATGTCCAACAGGTAGTAGGCATAAAAAAGTGACTGTTCCATTTCCTATTTTCCACATAAGAACTAAGAGTGTAAGACCTGTAGTAAGTGCTTAAGAACAACTTCAATGAAAACTGTTAAATTTTTAAATCCACCATAATTTGCCACTTTCATGCATCACCACAATTCCTACACCAAGTCATATAAAATATACCAAAAAGGCACTCCACTAACTAAAGCTTTTAGCTGTAAGCTCCATATGTGCTTTTCTATGTTATTCATTTAACCAAGACTTGTTAAGATGAAGAAAGGGACTCTGAAATGTAGACATGGATGACATGTACTCAATACATGCAAGCATCACAGTATTCTAGTGTTACTGGAGAAGCAAAAGGCAAAGTGCTAAATCAAGTGAAGGTAGTGAGAACAACCGAAAAATATACTATTAAATACTGGAAGTTCCAAGGGACATCCAAATACACTGTCATGACTGATCAAATCATAAACTAGCAAGTGATCATCTTAAGAAAATTCTCAGGACTGCCTTCATAAGCAAAACTCAGCTATTCAGTAGCGATGAGGAAGAGTCTCAAAACAAGTAAAATAAAAACTGCTCCTTCCAATGACCTAGAGACAGCTTTCACACACCTGTGCTCCACAACACATTCCTTGGACCTAGCGTCATAACTTCAAGGAGTATTGTTTTCACTTTGTCATGCCTGTAACCAGATCCAACCTGGAAAAGCCTGTACTGGAGACAGAATCTCTCACTTCACCACCACCACCACCAATCCAGTCCCAAAGAGTCCATTCCTCAAGCTGTTCCATTTCCAGACTATACTGAAAGCTTTATTTCAAAGTTTTTATAATTAACATAACAATATGCAACACTTGATAATAGGTTAGAATACCTTATGAAGGAGAAGGAAATGTTTTTGCTGGTGAGAGAGGGGAGATTCCAAACAGGTATGGTCTAAGGGTTTACAACCTGACAAAAATAGAACATCAGTTTTATTTCTCATAAAGAAGAGAGGAACATTAACAGATTAAAAAAAAAACCAATTCTAATGTTTGGTCAGAATTTTAACAAATCTGGTAATGTTACCAAGGCTACTTTTTCACATTTGTGAATAAAACATTACAAAGCCAAGTAAGTTTTCAAACACTGTTGCATTAGCTAATAAAGATGGGATTCTACGGCAGAGATAGCTGGTAATTCTCTAAAATCCATTCTTCATTTCCATAGTAACAAAGTCCTAATTTTTAGCTAGGAATACGGCCACTGAGAATAAAAAGTAGTTTCTGCCCTACGTGTGGCCAATTTCTGACCAATGACATGCGAATGAAAATGCCTGCAAATTCCAGGTGCCCTTTCCCCCTTCTCACTGATGAGACCGTGATCATGAAGATTAGCTATCTTGGAAAGAGCAACATTCTAGGGATGGCAGAGCCAAGAGACACTGGGAACTTAGGTGCCCAACACAATGGAGCCCTGGACTGCTTACCTTAGGGCTACGTCAGAGAAAATTAAACTTTCTTATTTAATAAGATATTATTCTGGGTCTCTAATGGAACAGCCAAACATACACCCTAACCAATAGAGATCCCCAATTTTTTGTGCAAGGAGGAGTTACTTTTTAATTTTTCTGAAGACTTGAGGACACCTGAAGATCAGCAGCGAAGAAAGAGGCAATAAGATAGAAACCATGATCAGTGTGATGATTTACCAGGGAAGACATATGACATTTTGGTAAATCACAAACTACTGGTTGGAGATTCTGGTTATAGAACTAGTACAAACAGAGGCATAGCTTATCCTTTAAAAAAAGAATA